CGGGTCAGCTCATCTTTTTCTCATCATCTTTCACCTTTGGTGTGTTGCCGCTGCTTTTACTCGGTGAGCGTGATTTATCATTGGCTTTGCCAGCTGTGCCCTCTTCCCCTCCAGAAACAGAATATCAGCTACGCTCTTTACTTGTAGATTAAATAAAAGTCCATTTAAGTACAACAATTAATCCCACTATTGGTTATTTTTATTTTTCCAGAGAGTCATGTCCCCTGTTTTATGTCTAATCAGCAGCAGGAGGTTCGAGACTGAACCTCCTAAGAGAAAATAGAAGTCACCATCTTTGCAAGGATCATTTATCTTAGATTAGTCTCTGCCATCCAGATTATTTTACCTGACAACTGGCCGTTTCATTTCACTACTGCAGAAGTGGACTTTAAATGACTGTAGCTCCCATATGTTTCCAAAGTAACCTTCATTTTGTGGGTCTTTCATTGAACACCACACATGGGGATGGTGCCCCAGACAGAAGGAGGAGAGTCAGAACCAAACCCGTCACTCATTTTTTTGGAAGTAACTACTATATAAAAATCTCTGTAGGAATCATTCCCTATAGAATTGAAGTAACTTGTCTTCCCTTCTTCTCTTAGGATGCCTATTTTTTTTCTCATTAGTACAGTCATTTCCCAGTATGTTCCTTTGGCCACCAGCATAGATCTTAATGTGGATCTCTGTTAATGTTACTTAAGCTGCTAGTAGCAAAGGTTGGAGTTTTAAAGTCATTTTCAAGATATGGCGTCTTTGATCTGAGTAAGACTTCAATTCAATTTCCAACTGGCATCTTATTGTAAATGTCAGCATGAAAGTTTGTTCTTTTTCTGCTAAAATTAGACTCACTTGAGCCAGTACCAGCTTCATTTCTAGGGTTCTTTGACATTGATTATACTTTGGCTTTTAATCATGGTCTGTGACCTTTTCTGAACAATCAAGATCAGTCACATTATAAGATGGCACATTCTCCGTTTTTATAACTCTATTACTCCTCAAACCTACTTTCTAATGGAAGTCTTTGTGAAGAATAAAGCCATCACTTAATGTGATTGTTTAGCCTGTGCATCCGACCCAAATACGGTTATACCGTTCATGGCTACCCAAATGGTTCTATACAAAGCAATAGCACTGATGCACAAAAACCTCATTACAGAGCAACAGCCAACGTAGTCTCATTGTGATAGGGACAGCAGCAAGAATTAGATGCTTTTCAAATAATAAAGTACCAGAATGAGGTTTTAGATAAGCCCATCATCATCCACAAATGGAGAGACAAGGTACTAGCGGGATGCTAGGTGAGGTGCTGTGTTGCACGGCATATGAAACTGTGAGGATTAGAAGAGAACAAAGTAGTTTATTCCTCTTATTCCTGATATTCTGTTTCTTGCAAGGTGACATCTGTGTTACAGATGTGTCCTTTTCCTGTTTGTCAGCTGAAGTGGAAGGGAATGATAGAGCTGATATTTGGAAAGAAATCTCTTCCCATTTTCTCCCTGAAATATATCCATCAACATTCCATCAACATTTCCTTGAAGGTTTTCTGGGAGGGGTTAGAGGTTTTTGTCTTGTTTTGATTTCAGCACAAAACATTCCATTAAGCCTAACATAAAAAAGAAGTCAGGAACAAGAGTCACACAGCTGCTGGAGGCAGAGAAGTGCAGGCAGCACTTCTCCTCTTCCGTGTAGCTCAGTGGTTAGCGCATTTGTTCACCGAAGGGAAGACTTGGGGTTTGTTCTTAGTTCTGCCTGTATGGGAGCGAACATACATCTCCTGCTTCACAAGTTGTACCCTGAATACCTATGTGGAACAAGTGGGTACGTACCAACGTGAGTTGGGAAGGAGGGAGCATTAGTAGTGTAAGCTGGTCCTACCGACATAGCTCCAGGTTGTGTAAATAATTACATATTCACTGGAACAGGCAGCCAAGAGTCCCAGCTTGGGTGAATGTCCTGAACATAAGGCTGGAGACTAATTTTCTCTCTTGCTCTCTGCCTCAATTAATAACCTTTGATGTAAACCTGGAATGAATCCAGCAGGCATGATTGAATCTCACCTAACTTCCAGCTTTTAGTTCAAATCACTTCCCTAGAGAAAGCCAAAAGGTAGCTTGGAAAACAGTCCCTTTCACACACATCATGCACATACAAATGAAAACTAAGTCTGCAGCATCTGTATTTTCAGGGAAAATGACTGTAGAAATAAATATAAAAGGTACCATTTAATATAGCAACAGATGGCATCCACATATTCCGATTGTGGAGCCACAGTTTAGATAATATTAATAGAATAGAACAGAAAAAGCAATATCTGCTTCTTGGCTTCTTACAGCACTCCTCTTTTTCCATTACAAATACACTAGTTCAATTCTAATTCAGTAAGTTTTAAGGATTGGGTTTTTTTTAATTTCTTGTCCTACTGTTTTGTTAGCACTTTACAACCACATAACGAAAAACTAAACAACATTAGAGTCTTTCGCTGCTGGATCTGACATGTTGGATTTTATTTAAGTTTATACATGAAATATGTCTAGTGGCTTTTAAATAGCTGCAGAAAAATATTCAGTGTAGGTTTCAGGAATCTGTATAGCACTTAATCAAGTTGTTTGTAAAATACAAAAACATAATATTATTGTTGTTTTTCCTTTTATTCTCAAGGAGATTTGGCTTTTGAATATTTATATAAACCTTGTGATCCTACTGAACATGCTGTCTTCGGGAAAGTAAAATGTATAGGACAGCTGAAATCTGTAATGTAATGGGGGTCTTTTGTAAACCTCTAGATTTAGTCTCTAATATAATCTGTTATTCATTCGAATGAGAAGATGGGCAATAAAATTACTGAATGAAACTAGAGTCAAATTAACATATCATGACCACCCTGCTCTCATTTTGTGAGATAAATACTTTAAAAAAAAAAGACAAAATATTACATAAACGTGATGATACTCATTTGTGTTTTGAAGGTCATGAAACTAAGGCCATGTTAAATAACAATGGTCCTCGTTACAAACGCAGCAAGATAGAGCGACGGATGAATATGGATATTTTCTTATGTGTGGGACTCCTGTTCGTGATGTGTCTTGTTGGAGCTGTAGGTATGAGACACTAACAAAAATCTTCTGTTTCATTGCTTTTTTCTACAAGGGAGTTAAAACTGATAGACCCGGGTGAGATCAGATCTAGAGCTGAATGCTTATGGGGTCTTTAGGCTCCTTGGTCTTTCCAATAGACAAGTTAAAATGGCAAATCTGAGCAATTCAGATGGAAGAAAATTCAGCCATGGCTATAAATATTTCAGCTAAGACCCTTCTCCACTGTGGTAAAATATGAGTAGAGCAAGCAAGTGAAAGCCACTGCGTTAATGCATTACAGGAGTCAGTACTTGCCAACTGAGATCTGCTTACTGAGTGGGTGTTCGTTCCTTGTTATAACAACAGAAGTAAAATCCTGTAGCTTTACCTTCATTTCAGCAACATCTTCCTCTAATATGTTCAGGAGTGATGTTAGCCAGAGCCACCCAATTTAAAGCCCATGAGCTGCATATGACTAATTCACCCTATTTACAGTCTCCACAGCTACCTTCCTTCTCAAAAGCCCCTTTACAGCAGGCTGTGGGGTGGATTAATTGTTTAGGTAGGAAGAGCCTGCATTTTTCTGGGGTCCTTGCAATTGAGCTCACTTGAATATAGTAACTGGGGTTAGCTGACTAGAGTTCACTAGACTGCTAGTAACGTGTGGACGTGGCATTTCGGGACATGGTTTAGTGGCCATGGTGGTGTTGGGTTGATGATTGGACTTGATGATCTTAAAGGTCTTTTCCAACCTTAATGATTCTGTGATTCTGTTAATCTCAAAAACATCATCTTCACTGCATGTAAGCACCTGTCTGTCTTCCAGCTCTGATTGCAATCTGTCCCAGGCAGGTCAGGATTAATAGGATCTCATAATCCTGAGGAAAGAGCCAAATTTTAAGCCTAACTGGTTTTTGAATGGGTTGCTGCTTTAAAGAGATAACAGAGGCTCCCAGGAGTGCTTTGTGTTCAAAGCTCCTTTTCCTTTTAATTGATTCCATCTCGGTGATAACTTGCTTAGTGCTGCTGCTCTGATTTAGTTTTGTAGGGACAAAGTCAAATAATGTGGCCCTGTCAGGTTTTCCTGAACCTGCCCTGGGGACATGGTGTGACACACCAGCCAGCCGTCAGTGTAATACCATTAGAAGTAAGGGCCATCCAAAAAGATGAACAATTGAACTGACTTAATTGCTTTTTTAATTTTGCTGCTGCATGTTGCAGTGGGCTTTTCTGGCACAGAAACGGGATTCCGGTTTGACAACTGAGCTCTTTGTGAGGGAGAGAGGCACTTTATTTTCATTGTTCCCTGGCTCCTGTCATGTAGATTTAAAGACTTGTCTTTGTCTGGTGTGTAGGGGCCCTGGAGTAATAAAGTCCTTTCATTTACAGTGGTCTCAGATGAAAAAATCAGCATTTAAAAAACAATTTATCTGCTCGGGTTAAAAAAAAATAATATTCATAGTCTAAGTGAAACGTGTAAAACAGTAACAAGTCCGTTAGCTTTGACCCATTCAAAATGTCCTGTAGCTCTGCCATGAATTTTTGCTTTGCAACCTTGCCTGAATGTAGGGATCTAGGAAGAAATTTCACTGGTGGGTTGGTTATCAGTGTTTTGCTTGCACACAGCGAAAAACTGGGGTGAGAAGTGGCTTGTAGAGCATAGCTGTCCTTGCCAGGTGTGATTGCGGGCTCTAGCAGCCGGGAAGTATTGCTGAAATAATTTGAATTCCTTTGGCAGCATTTTGGTAGGCAGATGCTGCAAAACAACTGCTTGCTTAATTGGTGCTAATAGTGGTTTTATCAGAGCTGGGTATGCGAAGTGGACTAATAGAGGGTTTTGGCAGGTAAAAGGCATCTGGAGCAATGATGCAGTAAGGGAAAGGGACTTGTTTGTCCTAGCTCTGTGTGAAGTTTCTGATGCTGCAAATTTAGTAACATCCTTGAGCAAAGTTTCTTTCCGTAAGGGCAGTGTGAAAGGTGGCAATGTGGTGGCGTGTTGGTAAGCCCTGAACCGGAGGCTTTGCTGCAGTTGTGCAACGGTATCTACCGGTATGCAAGACACAGGGGAAGAAGGAGTTTTGGGGTACGACTTAATCCAAGGGAATGTAAAAACGAGCTGCCCAGACTGAATTGTAGGGATCTTGTTAACTCTAACAAAGACAGATGGAAATCGATAATGGTCAGGAAGGGTAAGAAAGATTTCAGTTTGTCTATGCAAAGGTTATAAGGTTTCTTTCTGTTAGGAAGAGGGAGGCTTCAACACTGAGGATTTTTAAAGATAGGCAGTAGAGATGGAGTCCTCCAGCAACAAAACAGAGAGTGAGGAGAGCTCTGTGCAGAGCTAAGAGCCCTGGGGGACACCTGCCGAAGGAGAGGTGAATAAAAATATCCATGGCTGCTCATTTCTTACTAGCACATCAATTACATGCATGTGCTACAGAGCTCTGCATATACTTTGCATTCTCCGGTAGATTTACAGTATTGCTTGGGGACTGTTGCTTTGGAAATGTTCTTTCTTTTTAATTACCATAGCAGTCCCTATCTGAAAATTTCAGATACTTCGTCAATCACCTTACTGCTCAGTGTATTTTCAGTATTGTATATCATTCCTACAGGGCATGGCATTTGGACTGGAAACTCCTCGGAGCATCCGCCTTATGACATTCCAGATGAGAAGGGCAATTTTCTGTCTCCAGTGCTTGCTGGTTTCTACATGTTCTTGACAATGATAATCCTGTTGCAGGTAAAAGACAAAAACCTCCAAGGAAGAACCTGTTCAAAACTGAGTATAATCACTAATGAACAATTAATATCAACTAATAGCTGTGCAATACCTTATTAATCCTATTTGAAAATATTGCTCAAGTGTTTCAAATCATCCAAGTGTGAAATAATGTATCTTCTTTTTTTTTTCTAACTGCAGATTTTTCTTTCTTGTTGTCGAAACCCCACAAGGATATCGATAGGGAGGACATGTATTATATCTTTAAATAACTCCAGAATCTCTAGCATATGCAATAACGAGGATATTTACATCCAAATAGCAGCACTTTTTTTTTCTGACTATGGCCAGAATTCTAAAATAAGAATGCCACTTAATATCTCAGTGAAATACAAAATTGTCATTTTTCCTAATGGGGAAAAATAACTAGGTATGGTTCAGCCAGTTTAGGAGAGAAACTAAATTAGAAGTAGGATGCTCATATATTTGTGATTAAGCCTAATTGTGAAAGAACATTTTATGGGGAAAAAATCACATTTACTTTTCAGATTTCTTGATGTAACTGCCAAGATTTAAGTGGACAGAATTTCTTTAATATGAATGAAATGTGAAGATAAGTTTCAGAGTTGCTCAGAGGTTCCTTGGAGATTCCTTGGGGGGATTATTCTTCATTACTGAAACAGAATATTTGTGCATCTTAAGAATTCATTGTTATTTCAGGACAGGGAAGCTAGTGGGTGGGAAGTGTTGCCTGCAAAGTAATGGCCTGTGAAACTTCTTTACATTAAGAGTTAGTCTGTGCTAGTGTATCCTTTCAGAGTTTCAGGAGGGTAAGAGCAGCATGCACCTCAGCCCAGAAAATGTGCCTTGTGAGAGCATCCTCTGAAAGACCCATCTTTGCATTTGGTGTTCCAGGAATTTTGTCTTAAATATTTCACTTATTGTCCATGTTTATCCATTGCTGTTGTGTGCAGGATTTTTTTTCTCCCCTGAACCATTATTATTGAGTCCTACAATATGTCTCTAAGAAGAACTGTTTCTCTGAAAATTGTTGGTATACCTGTGCCAGGACATTGCTGACAGAAAGCAATAAGACTTTTCTCACCCCTCATTGAGAATTTTCTCTCTCTTTCAGGTTTTAATCCCTATTTCTCTTTATGTGTCCATTGAGTTAGTCAAGTTGGGCCAAGTCTTCTTCATTCACAACGACATTGACCTGTATGATGAAGAAGCAGATTTGCCCATACAGTGCCGTGCCCTAAATATTACTGAAGATCTTGGACAAATCCAGTACATCTTCTCAGACAAAACTGGGACACTAACAGAAAACAAAATGGTATTCCGACGTTGTACCATCAATGGAATTGAGTTTTCACACCAGGAAAATGGTGAGAGACACTTTTTCATACTTGCTTTTCTCTCTGAGCAACTAAATGTTGTTAATTTAAATATTAGTATTTAAGCCTACTGAGCCCTCTGACTGAATGTAGAGCTTTGTGGATTTGTCTCCACTTTGTGAGGGACTCCTGCTATGGAGATTCACAAAAGTAAAGGTGTTTTAAATGATTCAGAAGTCAGATGGGAAAGGTTTTCCCATTCCCTCTGCAGGCATCTCAGGTTTTGCCTTGTGTTCAATACCCACTTGAGAGTGCAAAGAGAACATTTTCGTTTTCATTTCTAAATGAATGCCAGCCAACCTTTTATAAGCTCACAAAGTGAGATTGGTTAGTAATTAAACTCAGTGGGTCCGAAAGTAATTACCATATCCTTCTGTGTGTTATGAAAGGTACATTTCCGTGAGTCGACCCTAGCTGCGGTCCGCCTCGGGAGTCATTTGGCATTCGGTGCTCTGAATCTGGGGTTTTGACTCGGGCCCGTTCTTGGTCTCTACTTTCTCTCTACATAGTAAGAAGGATATTACTAAGCTGGCAAGCAGCTGCCAAAAAGATGTTTGTGCTCTGTGACAGAAAACATTAGCAATTTGTGAAGTACCATATTTTACTTTCCTGTTTCAGTCAACTGCAAAATGCAGCTTAAAGAGATGAAGCATTAGCAGAAGTCCATAAAAGTGACTGATCGCTTTGAAACGCGTTTTTGTTTTCTTGCAGTAATAAACACGGGAGAGTGGGAGTTGCCAGAAACTGAAGTGGATACTGAAGTTTTTCTGGTGCTGAGTTTTGAGATGTTTTGGCTTTGAGTTAGTTTGTTTCAGTCTTTTTAGCCAACCAAGGAATTCCTGAGCAATGCAAAGAACAGAATAAAAAGTGAGGTTCCGTTTTCTCTTTTTACAGCCAGGCGCCTGGAAACCCACAAAGAATTGGATTTAGATGATGAGGACTCAGCAAAACTTCAACACTTCGCTCTTCCTCCCATGAATATTGAGAGACCAGACACGTATAAGCAGAGGACCGTGAGATCTTTAAGGAGGTGCCAGAGTGCTAGAGCTCATTTTCAGGGGCATACACGGAACAGGTCACTCGGCCGTCGTGACAGCAACCAGTCTCAAGTGGCATTCAGCAGTACCATTGTGAGTATGAGCAGACTGAGCTCATACATTTGAAGTTCTCCTTTCTGTTGCATTTTGTAACGGGGACCCAACAGGTGGACAGGAGAAATTGAAGCTCTGGTGGAGCCAAGGGAGGGAAGGGGGAGACGAAGTGTTGGGGTCCATGCTTAGAGCGTGCAGGCTACAGCTGGGGGGAGCTGGGTGCGCGTTTGGGAAGCTGGGTTCTTCTATCAAAGACTGCAGCAGAAGAGTGGTGGCACACGGGTGAGTTTTTGTGATGGTTGCTTGATCAGAGGAGGAGGCATGAATTTGGGGTCCAAGGATCGAGACCGCGGTTCGTAACAGCAGGAGGTACTTTGCACAGAGGTGAATGAGCTTTTTGTACTGTTCTGGTACACTAAAATGCCAGGGAAAGTGAGGTGGGGATTCTGGGCTAGGACTGTGCAAGAGGAGCTAGGGACGTGAGTCTGGGAACTGGCTTTGCAGAGACAGGACGTACAGCTCCTCCTGGGAGATGATGGTGGAGAAGAGGGTATGGGTTTGAAGTCTGAGTTTGAACGTAGCTCAGAAAGCCACAGACTAGTTCTGCTACGGGCACTGCAACATATCGTCTCTGTTAAACGGAATTCAGCCACCCCTGCGCTGTGCATGCAAAATGGCCAAGCGGCACTCTCCAAAGCAGTTCTTGGATTTTCTTAGCATGTCAAAAGGAAAAAAAATGGAAAATGAAAAAAAATGAAAAAAATGAAAAAAAAGGAAAAAAAAAATTTTTAAGGAAAAAAAAAAAAGCAGCACTTCTCACAAAGATAATACAAATTGAGCCAAAAGGGCATATCACAATAAGGCCTTAAAACCCTGCAAGATGTTGAACTCTGCAAGACGCTGAAGAGCCTTGTCCCACTTCAGTAGGTAGGTGGGCCTCTGACCCACCTCGAGTACTGACGTGGAAGTACCTGTCTTCACTGCAATTCTAGGAACATCTTAGACTCCGCTGAGTTTTAGATCAGATGCTTCCCAAAATCTAACACAACCTAATTCAAGCCAGACTATTCTTTTCTTCTTGAAAGTTTTTTAAAAGACATTTCAGAAAAGGCTTTTATGGACTCTAGGAGGACATCGAACACTTTCAGAATTAGAATTCCAATTAAAATTAAATGCCTGGAAAACACTTCAAAATCTTTTTCTTTTTTTAAACTAATCAATACAGAATTCTCAGAATTTTATTTTCTGCAGTTGTTGTTCTTGGCAAAGTAGTTTAAGTGCGTTATAAGATCCTACATACCTCATTCAGTTCCTCTGTCCTGTAGTAGATATCAGTCAGTACTCCTTCTGCTCTCGGAGTATGGGAATTTTGTCAGCTGTTATCCTAGCATTTTCCAGCCCAGTCCTCATGGGACGTTGAGAACCTCTCCATGGGTTCTTGAGAACCCATGGGTCATGACTTTTGAGAACCTCTTATGGGTCATGACTTCTGAAGTGTGATAAAGGAATTTCTTGCCAGTGTATTTCCCCAGTTATGTTTTTTACTGCCAGGCCTCTCTGTTTGCTTCTATGAACAAACTGACATGTTTGGGGTTTTTTTCCCCACTGTAAAAGCTGTATCTGAGGAACCTAGTATCAAACATCTCCTTTGTAGAGGAAGATTAAGCTACTGTCATGGAAATAACCAGTCTTAGCTGTTAATAGGTGTCACTCTCTCTGGGTAAATCATTTAACCTCTAAAATATGAAGATGTAGTAGAAACAGAGACACTTGGGTAATTTCCCAGAGGCTGTCCTGTATGTTGATATCCTTCAAACGATGCACAGTAGCATCTTTCCTTATCTGCCAAGCCAATTCCCTTTCAATAAAATGGGGATAGTAAAATTTTCTGTGTCTCTCTGGTTCCTGCCCTTTGGAACTTATAGTGCCTTGTCTGATGCATTTGTACTTTGCTACAAATCTGGAGCATCTGTGTACGCCAGTTACCCAGATAGTATCATGGGCCTCAATGTTTCTCAGTAGTCAAAGTTTCTTACAGAAAATCCATCTTTGAACTATGTGTGATTGAAGATTGTCGTGGTTTAACCCCAGCCGGCGCCTAAGCCCCACACAGCCACTCGCTGACTCTCCCCCAGTGGGACGGGGGAGAGAATCAGAAGAGTAAAAGTGAGAAAACTCGTGGGCTGAGATAAAGACAGTTTAACAGGGAAAGCAAAAGCTGCACACACAAGCAGAGCAAAACAAGGGATTCATTCACCACTTCCCACCGGCAGGCAGGTGTTCAGCCATCTCTAGGAAAGCCGGGCTGCATCACGCGTAACGGTGACTTGGGAAGACAAACACCATTATTCTGAATGTCTCCCCCCTGCTCCTTCCCCCAGCTTTATATGCTGAGCATGATGCCATATGGTACAGGATGTCCCTTTGGTTGCTTGGGGTCAGCTGTCCCAGCTGTGTCCCCTTCCAGCGTCTTGTGCTCACCCAGCCTCCTCGCTGGTGGGGTGGGGTGAGAAGCAGAAAAGGCCTTGACCCTGTGTAAGCACTGCTCAGCAATGACTAAAACAGTGGCAGTCAATGACTGTCAAACACAGTCTTCGCTATGAAATTGTGAGACTCGGCTTCTTCAGATCAACGAAATGCAAGAGGAAAAAAAAGCTGTTTTACATAATAAACAACATAAAGTCCAAAGGCCAATAGTTAGCATTGTACAATTTGTTGTTGTTGGCTTTTATCTTAATAAATGTCAAGTTTCCAAGGGTTGATGTGCCAGCCACGTGAAACTATTCATGAAAACCGGTAGCCTCAGGTAATAATAAAATTGAAGAACTTTGCACTGCTGAGAAGACACAGTGGTTTTTGGGTAAGGGTTAGCACAGCATCTGCTATGAGCACCTGCATGTCAGAACTGTTGCCAAGAAAAGCATTTTAAAGCAAAAGGGACATAAACATAACAGTATCCCACAAAATGTAAAGAGTTCAGTTGGAAAGTAACTGTGTCAAACAAAAGATAATAATTTACAAATGTCAAATTTATGTGTGAATAGTTTCTAAAGGAAAATTATCTATGCAGTGATCACAAAATTTACTTACTCTCAACCAGCCTTACATGAATCAGTGGTAAGCAGGTTGCATATGGTATTTTAAGTGCATTTGTACAGCGGTAGTTGATTGTGCCTGCAAATCAGCATGTTTGAACTTTGTCTCAGTATTCTGAGCAGTTCTGCAATTAGGAAGCTCTGCAGCTACAGGACGTATTTCAGCCTGCCTGTTTGTGAGAGTGTTCTCTGCTTGACAAGTTTTGATGTTTTGCTGAAATACGAGAAGCTCTTCTCAATTAACATGTTCATCTCAGTGCATCTCTGAGATAGAGATGAGGATGATGGGTTTTTCATGGCACTTGATAAAGTTAATTAAACTGGAGCCCACAGATCCTAGAAGAATAATTAAATAGCATTGTTTGTCTTTTCTGGAGTAAAAGTATCATGTAGAGCCTAACTCCTAGGGCTTACCCTTTGGCTTTGCCCCTTCTAATATTTTTGCCATAGTCTTCATGATTCGTGGCAGTTTGTGAAGCCTCCATACATACAATTCATGCAGTTCATCAGAAATGATGAATCTTATGTCCAGTTAACAGCTTCCAAAAATTCAGTGTCAAAGTCTATTCACTGGGAAAGAGCTTGACCAGGTCTTGGACAATGGAAAAGCAAATTCCTAGCTTATTGTCAACAATCGTCTCTTGCTACACTTACTAAACATAAAAATACAGAGATAGAGATCTACCTATTAACAGTTACACTTGAAAAAGTTGAGACTGAGATGAACAGATCTGTTTGAACACAAATTCAAGCTATTCCAAAAACTTACAGTTGAAAATTGCTGCCAAGTCTGCAGTGTTTATATTGATACCATAAAAATGTGCAATGTCTGTGTATGTCTTAGGCTTTATGTGGAATGGAAAGGAAGGAAGAACAGTGTAGTCTTTACTTCAGAAATCTCCCAGGATAAATATAGTGACTGATTTATTCATTTCGTAAACATTTATGAGAAATCTGGAGTGAGACAGACACCGCAGAAGCACAGAATGGTTGAGGTAGGAAGGGACCTCTGGAGGTCATCTGGTCCAACCGCACTGCTCACCTACAGCCAGTTACCCAGGTCCATGCCCAGACATTTTTATATCTCTAAGGATGGTGTCTCCACAAGCTCTCTGGGCAACCTGTGCCGGTGACAGTGTTCTGTCACCCTCACAGTTAAAAAGTGTTTTCTGATGTTCAGGTGGAACCTCCTGTGTTTCAGTTTGTTCCCATTGCCTCTTGTCCTGTCACTGTCGACCACTGGAAGTGCCTGACTCCATCCTTTTTGCACCTCCATTCAGGTGTTTATATACATTAATAAGATCCTCCCTCAGCCTTCTCATCCCTGAACAGTTGTGGTGCTCTCAACTGCTCCCCATATAAGAGACGCTCCAGTCCCTTAATCATATCTGTGGCCCTTCGTTGGGCTCTCTCCAGTATGTCTATGTCTCTCTTGTACCAGAGAACGGAGAACTGGACACAGTATTCCAAGTGTGGTCTCGCCGGTGCTTAGTAGAGGGGTAGGATCACTTCAGTGGACCTGCTCGCAACACTTTGTCTAAAACAGCCCAGGATATCATTAGCCATCTTTGCTGCAAGGGCACGCTGCTGGCTCATGTTCAACTCTGCCCAGAAGGACCCCCAGATGGTGACCAAGCTGCTTGCAAGCATATATTGCAAGCATATATTGTTGCCTGGGGTTGTTGCTCCCCAGGTGCAGCACTTTGTACTTCTCTTTGTTGACTCCTCTACAATTCTCAGGAACTTCATGATGTTCCTGTCAGCCCATTTCTCCAGCCTGTTGAGGTTCCTCTGGATGGCAGCAAAACCCTCTGGTGCATCAGCCGCTTCTCCCATGTTAAACAGGACTGGACCCAGTATTGATCCCTGGGGTACACCACTAGTCCCTGTCTTCCAACTATACTTTGCACGGCTGATCACCACCCTCTGGGACCGGCCATTCAGCCAGTTTTCCGTTCACCTCACTGCCTGCTTATCCAGCCCATACATCAACAGCTTGTCTAGGATGATCTTACAGGGGACAGTGTCAAAGGCCTTACTGAAGTCCAGGTAGAAAATATCCACTGCTCATGGACATGTCCATATCTAAAGTATCTAACGCAATTGGAAAAAGAACTGACTTACCTGTTCTTTCACACCTTGTGTGAAAACAGAAACTGATTTTCATCCTGCCTGTCAATACCTCTGGAGCCTTCAGCCCAACAGAGGATACCATCTCATTTTAGAACCTAGAAGGTAGCATTGGCCAACTTACTCATTTCTTTGGGTACCTCAAAAGGAGATAATGCTGGTATACTTTATTCATTTGGTTCCTTGTGGCTGCTGCAACTTCTCAGAGGGGAAAAATAAAATAATGTATTATAAAACAACAGAGCTATGGTTGACAGAAGGACTTAAGGGAACTTTAAAACAATAGGGAAAAAATAAAACGATAAGCAAATTTGGAACAAGGTAGAGCATTAACACTTACTTTGTCTACCTTTAGGTGTTCTTATGAATTAAGGTCGTGACAGCACTTTTCCTCCTAGATTTAATAATTCAAATAAATAGTGCCTTGCTATTAGAAGCATTTCATGAAGATTTCATTTGTACTATTGTCATCAGGTTTTAGTGCCATCAAGTAGAAAAAATGCTATCGAATTAATGAGGAAATCTTAAAAACTGAATGGCACTAGCCATTTTGTAACATCAGCATTTTCACTAACAAAATTTTTAAAATTGAAAAGGTGGTACCTTTAACTGATCATCATCATTAGTGCTGGTTTATTTCATTTTCTTTTTTTTTTTTAGTTTGGTTTTTTGTATGTTCAGACTGGTCAATGAACAGACTTCTTTGTCCAAATTTTTATCTCCTGAAGTTCCATAAGGCTGGAAATTCAGGTCATCCCTGTTTTCACCAAATGTGAAAAAGAAGAACTTTTCTGATAAATATTGATTTTTGCATTATTTTAGTTTTAAAACCTGTCTCTGAGGCCATAACTGACCTGACAGTTTTCTGTTTTTCCAGAGGAAAATTTTGAGTTCAGAAAGTTTCTGCTAAAGTGGAATACCTACTAGTGCATTGTCATTTTTGGCATGAACTAGAGGCAGATATTGAGGATATAGATGCAAAGGAAATTGAGTAGGATGATGATGGGTAGGAGAGACTGAGATCCACGTGGTTCATGAGGTTCATTCTAATTGTTGCAGTGCATGAGGAAATTATATGAATAGCTGGGCAGTCAGTCAATGAGTTTCTAACCATTCACGTTTTGAACTTAATATAATTCCCAACATAACTGTTTTGAGGGTTGTGTCTGCACATGTGTTCTTCACCGGAATTGTCCAGTTAAGCTCTCTGGGATAGCAAGCACAGCAAAGGCCACAGGTACACAGCTGCCCACAGTAACTGTCTGCCGCAGTACAATATTGTGAAAGGGTTTCTAAAGGATGACAGCTTTAACTTTTGAGCCTCTGAGTCCTTTCAAGAGACCTGACAAGATAACTAAAAAATCCAGCTTATCCTGAATGTGTATCAGTTTACTAGAGAAAGGACCGTATCTGTCACGGTTGACACACCTGAGGGACGGGATGCCATCCAGAGGGACCTCGACAAGCTCGAGGAACGGGCCCGTGTGACCCTCGTGAGGTTCAACAAGGCCAAGGGCAGGGTCCTGCACCTGGGTCGGGGCAACCCCCGGTATCAGCACAGGCTGGGGGTTGTGAAGGGATGGAGAGCAGCCGTGCCAAGAAGGCCTGGGGGGTCCTGGTGGGTGAAAGCTGGACAGGAGCCGGCAATGTGCGCCCCCAGCCCAGGCGGCCAGCCATGTCCTGGGCTGCATGCAAAGCCGCGTGGCCAGCAGGGCGAGGGAGGGGGTTCTGCCCCTCTACTCTGCTCTGGGGAGACCCCCCGCAGTGCTGCATCCAGCTCCGGAGCCCTCGGCACAGGAGAGACATGGACCTGTTGGAGCGGGGCCAGAGGAGGCCCCAGCAATGCTCCGAGGGCTGGAACAGCTCTGCTGGGAGGACAGGCTGGGAGAGCTGGGGGGGCTCAGCCTGGAGCAGAGAAGGCTCCGGGGAGACCTTCCTGCAGCCTGACAGGGCTTAAAGGGGGCCTGTAAGAAAGGTGGGGACAGACTTTTTGGCAGGGCCTGTAGCAATAGGACAAGGGGTAATGGTTGTAAACTAATAGAGGGAAGATTTAGACTAGATAGAAGGAACAAGTTTTTTACAATGAGGGTGGTGAAACACTGTCCCAGGTTGCCCAGAGAGGTGGTAGATGCCCCATCCCTGGAAATATTCAAGGTCGGGTTGGACGGGGCCCTGAGCAACCTGATAGAGTTGCAGATGTCCCTGCTCACTGCAGGGGGGTTGGACTAGATGGCCTTTGAAGGTACCTTCCAACCCAAACCACTCTATGATTCTATACTTCAAACATTTCCCCATTTTGTGAAACAAAAAAGCATGAAAACACTGAGCCAGAGGAACCAGAGCCTCCTGCAGCAGAGAAAGTGCAGAATCTTGTTCCAATTTTGGATTTCAGTTGAGCTCTGTGCTGCAAAATGAGCAGTAGATTTATTTGCAATTATTAGGATGATTTAAGAACTGCTATTCACTTTAGCAAGCAGGAGTTACAATACAACATATTCAGCTCAGCATAACACGGCCACGACGGTGGTTGGTTGACTTCTGTTGCATATTTAGGGAACTTAGGAAAACTGTGCCAGATTGAAGGAGGAGAGGGTAATAGCTGAGGTGAACTAGAAAGCAGATAAATAACTTTGGCAGTTCCTTAAAGAAGGCATCCAAAAGTGTTGGCTCACAGGAAGGTGTCTTTTAAATTTGGAAGCTCTTGTTAAATATGTCCCAGAATTAAATCCAAACCATGGATATATGTTGCTAACATGAAATTTCCATTAAAAGTAATACGCCCATAGCCCTACATCAGATTAAATTGTGGGTAACCAACATTGATAAGTAGTTTGGCTTGCAAATTTAGGTTTGGTTAGAAACAGTGTGGTAGTAAAATTACAGCAATGTTTCTGGAGCAAGTGAAGTATGTATGTATGTATGTATGTATGTATTTATTTGTTGTAAAAACTGAGGAAGAACAGTTTGAGACAGCTCTTTCTGGATGCAAAGCAAAATGACTCTAGAAACAAAAAGTGATACTGCTGTAACAAAACCATAAGCACAAAATATTCTTTGTTGAAATAACAGCCAGCTCCCACACTGAAATGGGACATCCCAAATCCACTTCCATCTGGAATGACATTTAATTCAGTAGTCAGCAGTTTCAAAGTTAGGGGATACAGTATAGATTACTCTTGATTTCTAGTAGTTCTCAAAAGAAATAAAATTCTGAAATTATCTTCTATTTCAAGATGCATTTCCTTCTAATTATCTAGTTATGCAACTTTTAGAAATGTATCTTTTTTTCCCTAGATGTTAAGTACAAAAGGCATTTACCTTACATAATTCTAGGTGTAAATTCAGTAAGAGGCAAGAAGAAGCTACCGAGTTTATAGTTTTTCCTGGAGGACAGGGTTAAATGGGAATAATCCTCATTAAGTAATTTCTCTTCCAGGAAAAGGATGTGACTCCCGATAGTAGGCTGCTAAGGCAAGTGAGAGATGCTGCACTTCAGACTGAAAATCTTTCTCCTTTTACACATATGAAGACTTCCACATCCCTTACTGACTTTTTTCTTGCCCTTGCCATCTGCAATACAGTCCTGGTCTCTACTGCTACTGAGCCAAGACAAAGGGTAATCTAACTTTAAGTATATGAGGAAAATTGATTATGCTTCCGTTTAACAGCATAGAGCAGTGTTCAGTGAAACCTGAAACAATGAAAAATAGTTTTTTGGGAGTTATCCTCTAGCTCTTTTGCCTTTTGTGTAATAGCTACTGTTTCCCTGCTTGTGTATATCCCTTCCTAACATGGCTTTTTATGTTTGATGAATAGCTATGGCTACCACAGTAGCTGCAATTTTTCTTTTAGATTTTATATTATATATACTGTAAGAAGTATGTTGAATACACTGGGTTTTCTCTCATCTCCCAGGCCATTGACAGAACTAAGAGAGGCTTGATTCCATCTCTGCTTCAAAGGTAGAGATACAAATCACCATCAAATTTGGATGCCAACTCACCTATGACTCCTTTACTGAATTCACCCACCACACTTAAATAGGAAAAAAAAAAAAAGTTGCTTTTTTAATTATCGTAATTTAGATACAGAAAAATATATTGAGGTTTTGAAAAGTATCTTGTAGTTCACGTTTATTTTTAACCATAGGTTTTCTCATATTCCTAGGTCACAGTCCCACCACCAATAAAACCTTCAGGAATCACCCTGGAGAAGATTCATCAGATATTTCAGCGGCTAAAATTAGCAAGCCTTAGTCAGTCTTTTTCATCATCTCAGTCTAGTACAGACCTAGGCGCGAGCTTCAATGCCAGCAACACCGAGGAGCATTTTGCTGCGTTGGATTGCAGCGACAGTGACAACAACTGCTGTGCCAGTGGTAGAGGTGACGAGCTCCAGGGCAAGGGCAGCACAGGTATTGGTGGTGCTTCCTTGGATGAGGTTTTTAAATCCATGACTAACAGTTCTCTGCCAACAGACTTTTGTTATGAGGCTGAGAGCCCAGATGAGGCAGCACTGGTCTATGCTGCCCAGGCATATAGTTTCACTTTAGTGTCCCGAACTCCTGAACAGGTGACCGTACAGTTGCCACAAGGCACACTCCTGACTTTTGATATTCTCTACACTTTGGGATTTGACTCAGTAAGGAAAAGGATGTCTGTAGTGGTGAGGCACCCTCTAACCAAGGAGATTGTTGTCTACACAAAAGGAGCTGACTCTGTTATAATGGACTTGCTGGAAGACTCCGCCAAAGGTAATTAGCCAATGAGCTACTTCTGTTGTGTCTCCTATAGAGAAGCACAAGGAGTTTGCAGTACTCTACTCTGCATGAAATATTATACCTAGGCATTAGAAATATAAAAAAAGAATAAGCTTTGTCTAGTGTTATCCTTGCAGATCAGAACCGAGGTATTTATTTAACCTGAGTAGTGCTTAGAATATGGAATGGGCTAATTAAAAATCACTGATAGCGCTAACCCATGTGGATTGTGTACTCTGCAATAATACTGTCATAAGGGCCTGACCATTGTATTTCAGCTCGTTAGCAAAAGTGCTATAATGTTAACAAACAAACAAAAATCCCGAGTAATGTTATCTTAAAGCAAACGAGGATCTTTAGCAAGCTTTCGGCTTACGCACAGCCATCATTTTTGAGCTTTTGAAGGTATTGCTATTATACTGGAATCCAGTTTTCTGTAATGCCCACTCTTTTTAAATCTTAGGCCATTAGGTCTGAAATGATCTGTGCTTCAAATGCAGAGTCTTTTCCTTGTATTTCACAGCTGACATTAGTGCAGAGAAGAGGATGAAAAGGATAAAACAAAAAACACAGAAGCATCTGGACTACTATGCCCGTGATGGCCTACGAACTCTGTGCATAGCTAAGAAGGTAGGAGGCCATTAGCCTAATATTGTTTGCAGCTTTGCTCTGTACATGTCAATAGATTTATTAGAAAAAAGTAATGGTTATAATTCTTTCTGCTGCAGGGAACAAACCAGATACAGCCCATCTTTTTGTCCCTCCATTTGATTACTCTGCAGTCTTTTTTCCCTCTTTTTCCTCAGGGTGAGCAGATGATGGATTTTTGGTCAGCCTCAAAGCATTAATTTCTGTGTCTTTTATGGTAACTCTAGCTGACCTTCTCTACAGTGATTCCAAGCAAGAAATAAAAACTCTGCAGAGGAGCCAACCATCTTCTGTTTTGCTTGGCATTCAGCTTTCAAAAATCTTGCCCTCAGCCTGGGTTAGTACATCTTAGCCTGATACTTTAATACAGAAGTTGTCTATGTGCAACAAATAGGTCATATTCAAGCTCTGGAGAAATGTAGAGCAACTGTCAGAAACTGTGTTTTCCAGTTCAGAGTCCCAACTAAGGGCTGTGTGATCAAGAGTTTCTCTAGGTCATGTTTTTAAGTCTCAGCTGTAGGCCATTTATACAAAGAGGAAGGCAGGTCTATTTTTCTCACTACTACTGTTCTTGCTGTCTTCTCTTGGAAAAGTTCGTGTTATTTTAAAGATGACACACTACTGGATGGGAGTTAAGTCTCTGTGATCCGGAATGCTGCCATTCTTCTCTTATTTAAATTTAAAATGACCTCTGTTTAAATTGTGTTATGCAGGTCTTGAATGAAGATGACTTTCAAAAATGGGCCAATTTTCGTCGGGAGGCAGAAGCTGCAATTGACAACAGAGATGAGCTGTTAATGGAGACAGCGCAGCATCTGGAGACCAAACTCACCTTGCTGGGTAGCTAAAAATAAAGAATCGTCATTGCATGAAGTATCACTTGCTCTCCTGTGATATTCTTGGCAATCAGACAGACAACAGCTTATACTAATTTATATCAAAAAGTCTTCCTCTGAGGTTTGGAAATCTCAGGGCTAGGATATACAGTCCATTGACAGGGTCTAAACAAGTTCTCATGCATCCTGAGCCGTAGTAACTTCAAAAAAGTGTACTGAAACTATCATGTGCCAGGAGCAAAGAACAGGTACATCAGCTGTTGCTGTGACTCAACTGACACAGTAGATAATGAAATCCCCAAAATTCAATCATGTGTCTGTATCTTTAGATAAACCTATAAAATACTGTACATTAACTTCACTTTTGAGCACAAATTCCAAGGGAATTTTGGTAATTATACTGCATTGTAAAGTACAGTAACCTAAGCACATAGGCATTTTTTTTTTTTCCTGCTGTTGTTGTATTGTCATGTTTGCTTTCTGCACTTTCTAAAAGGATGTTTCATGTTAAAACTTACATTCATTGGCACTTGTACATCATCCATCACCGTTGTATCTAACAACACTATTCTGTTACATTATAGAGCGCTTCAGTGCTTTTCTATTTTGTTTCCAAACATTTTGTTCTTTAGGACTTTGATTTTCAGAGTTGTCTCAGTCTCATCTTTCTGTACATACAATCTGTGCCCATACTTCATTATCCTGAACTTCTGTGATTTCAAGCTATTAGCATTATGACTTCTCATAATCTCTACAGTGATTTAAAAAATTAGAGTCATAGCAGTAAATGCCATAAGCAGAACGACAAAAAAGGTAATGTAGATTTTGTCAGTATCTGTTACCTTTGCCAACACTAAGGCTCCATGTGTTTTCATACTTTATTTCACAAAAAGTGTTCTTTTAGCTTAAATCAATATCTATCTTTCATATATCAGTTAGAGCATCTTCAAACTGACCTCTAGTGGAAGAGACAAGAAAAGAAGTATTGTAACCTTCAGATGGTGGTTTACCATCAGGATAAGTGTTGGCATCAGCTTCTAAGTTTGTGCCTTTTTAAAAAAAAAGCTTACTGTACCATTTCTTTTCCCTTTGACAGGCAAAGCATCTGACTTGACAATTGGGATAGCATTCATTTAAATAGTCAAAATTGATCTTTTCTAGTTGCCTTGGTGGGACTTAATGCAGTATTTTAAAAATGCGTACGGTGTAATTCCTCTGCCAGCACATTGTCATTTTGGAGTATTAAAAAGAAATAAAATGCATTGTTCTAGCAATGAGTAAAATGAAGAGCCTGAACTTGATTGCTGACATGTTCAGATATTAATCCAAATGCAGCTCGTGTGTCTTTGTGTTTACTTCCCGGACAATACGTTGGCTCAGCTCTTGATAAGCTCAGGATCACAACTAGAAGTCAAAGACCTTTTCTTAAAAAAGAAAATAGCAACATGATTTCCAGATGAAAGACAACTAGTTCATTTCTTCTTTGCCTGTTTGCCCAGGAGCAACAGGGATTGAAGATCGGCTGCAAGATGGAGTGCCTGACACTATTGTGGCTCTTCGAGAAGCTGGGATACAAATCTGGGTGTTGACAGGAGACAAACAGGAAACAGCAGTTAACATTGCATATTCCTGTAAGCTCCTGAACCAAAGAGACACCGTCTTCACCATTAACACCGAAAATAAGGTGAGTACAGACACACAGAATTTGCTATCTTTCCATTTCTTTGTGCTTTGCAGCTTGGCACTGTTTTGCTTTAGGCTTCATTCAACACAAAACAGCCAACCAAAAACCCACATAGCAGCATTAGGCCAGCAACTCTTTAGACCACATGTAACAGGACGAATTGAAACACAAGACAGTCATGTAGAGTTTTATTCAATTAAAACACAATTATTTTTCCAAATGAAAATATTCTTTAAAAAAATTACCTGAATAATGAGCTTTAGAAAGAGGGTAATATGCAGTTTAAGTCCCTGATTCCTTAATAATATTGGTATCTGGCTTTTCACCTTGCAATGGAAATTTCAGTCACAATGATATTTTAACCCTAGATGATATCTGTAGTAAGACATTCGGAAAGTACTGTATGAATCAGTCTGGAAAAAGTATGCAGGTGTAGATTGGATTTAATTCAGTACTTTCTAGTCGCACGTTCCCTAATAGGATTAGGCTTAATCAGAAATTTATTAGTGAACAATTTAATTACACATCTTTTTGTGTAAGCAGCATTTCACCTTCTTGGAAACCTAAAGGTAGTTCTTGTGGGTTGGTTAAAAACACAGTCGCTTTCTTGATATTCCATGGTGGTGCACATAGTTGTTGATGTGCACAGATATTCCCTGAATTTCTAGGGGTAATAAGAAGGTCAGGCGGTAGGCAAGGCAAACATACTCCAAAATGAGGATAATCACTTCAAGGGCACGTCTGTCAGTCCTGTGACTCACTAAAATACAGTGAAGAATCTGTGGTGCAATCTATGGCTATTCCTGAAACTGAAGAGAAAAGGGAAAATAGAGTCCTAGCTGTCGAAGACGGTAAATGCCATTAAGGATGGTGAAAGTAAAAGGCTTTAGAAGAGCAACCTTGGCTTTTGCAGATTGTGAAGCAACCAGGTCGTGAAGCACCGGGAAAATCATGCCTTGCTTTCAGAAGCAGAGTGGCCGCGGCTGCGCACAGCCTCGCACCTCATCCCCGGGCGTCCTGGCGGCACAGGCGGCTTTGGGGGGGGACTTAGCGGGGAGCGGGTTCAGGCATTAGTGGTTAATCCAGACCCATTTTCTAAGGAGAGCTCAGCCCTGATCATTTCTGAAGCCCAAAAGCGGGGTCCAAAGTGCCAGCTGTGATCCCCTTTTTTATTTTCTTGCCAGCGGCC